GGAGCTTGACCATTTAGAGCTTTATAAGTTAACAGTAGGATTTTAAATTCAATTCTGGATTTTACAGGGAGCCAGTGCAGAGAAGCTAAAACAGGAGAAATATGATCTCGTTTCTTAGTTCCTGTTAGTACACATGCTGCTGCATTCTGAATTAGCTGGAGAGTTTTTAAGGACTTACTAGAGCTGCAAATGCCAGTCCTGCATTTGTGGTCATTGAAGTCCCAATGAGAGTAGGGAACACTGGGGAAGTCCTTTCTGTTAGCACTGAACCAGCCTCCGCATGAGGAGTGGGTACCCTCTCCACTGCCAGCTCTGCACATGTGGTTGATGACAGCGTCCACATAGATGTTGACCTATGGGTAGATACAGGATTGTAGGTGCAACACAACTTATCAACACCTCTCTTCTATCCACCTTCACTTTCACTTCTTTCCTATAGCATGTTAAGTTCATTCTCAAGTTACAGGAATACGTCAAAGCTGCGCTGCTCACTGTTGAGTCACTGTGATGTTGGTGGGCCAGGAACTGAAGCATAACATTTTAACAGAAAAGCACCAGCTAAATGTCTAGGTGTGAATGAATATTTCTCAGGACAGAGGTATGGATACATGAAATTGTTCAATTTCATGAATGCCAGGTGTCTGTTGTTATTAAGCAGTTTGATTATGATAAATGTAGCATCAAGTGTTATGCAATGTATCTAAAAAAAATTTGTTGTCTTATACGAGGCTGTCGATTTACAATTTGCTGTGGAACGTAGAATTGTTCCTAATGTCTTTGAGTAAATCACTGTAGTTTACCCCAACGTTGTTGCATCTGGTGATCATGTCCCTCAGCTCGTTCTCATTGCCGGATCTGGAGCACAGGTTGTAGCCGGTTGGTTGGTATCTCTGCCACCAGGGCCTCCAGGGACTGTTCAGCACAATGTGCTCATTTGGAGGGGAGATCTGAGCAACAGAGACACATTACAGTATATATTTCTTTTAACATAGGAGTTGTCTGCGGACGGAATCACTGTTAAATGGAGTTCTATATATCAACAATGTGATATACACACTACAGCAATTTTACACATGAACTTAAAGTTAATCATCACGAGGGCTGCTACTCAGCATGTGAGTACATGTAGCTGAAATCACCTGATTTTACTTATGTGATCTATTTGTTAGAATTTAGAATAAAAATATCACACGCTTACAGGCTTTTACATTTAATGGTTTAGAGTTTATGACACTATGAATGTTGTCTATAGCTATGTTGACATTATCATTTTTGCCACCTGCGTGCCTAGACGTCTTCAACATACAGCTTGATTGCACACACCTTATCTCAGAATAGAAAAAAAGAAGACATTATTCTGCTTCTCTAGACTAGCAAACTATCCTGTCTTCAGCCATACATACCTGAACTCCACCAAAGCCATTTGGACCCAAGAAGCGCTCACACTCTGCAGCGATGTCCGCCCAGCGCCACTCAAACAGGTGGATGATGGCCGTCCTGCCGTGCTTGGTGTGAGGGTTGTGCTGGGCGAGGCCGAGCCCGAACAGAGCCACCAGAATGAACAACTTCATGCTTTCCCTGAATGAGCGAGAAAAACCACACTCACCTGCTGCCTCACTGTTAGTATTTATGCTCATTTTCTCTCCCTGCTGGACCAATGTGAGACTGGCAAATATCAGCATGGGGGTTAAACAGGTGCCTCTTGCTCATGGCTTCCTCCCTTTTGTTTATTTAGAAATTAATAGACTCTAGGCACGTAGAGGCTGGAAACATGAGGTGTGCATAATGTCTTTATCCAAATGTAAAAACAAGTGGCTTAAAGAGACTGGAAATATGCCAAAGATCCTGAAGTGTTATGTTCTGACAGTGACATGCAATTCAGTTGATCTTCTCTGCAGGTCAAAACAAACTGAAACTCAAAGTTCAAAGGATCACATCTGCCTTGTCATGTGGTGGTAATTTCAATGATTCAATAGTAACACTACCCTTACAAAAAAGAAGTTTATTCAAGTATGCTATTAGTATACTTCCTTTTAACTAAAAAATAAGAGAGTATACTTTCAGTTTACTTTTTATGTACTTATCAGAGATAAACTTACAAAGAGTATACTTATGAATACTTGGCTTATACTGACAAGTATAAAAAAAAGTCAAAGTATATTTTGCTTATACTTGTACTTAATATTTTGATTGAGATATACTAAAGGGAAGTATAGCTGAGAATTCTTGCCCTATACAGAGTGTTTAAGTATCCCAGATAGCATGGTGTCTGATTCAGTGGTGAAACTCCATCTGAATTGTTTTTGTTGAGGTTAAATATTCAAGGCTAAATAATATGCAATCAATGTTGATAACTCTTTGCTTTTGAAATTTGGAAATGACAGCACTAAATTCATGTTCCAGGTGTAACGCGGACCTGTCCGTTTTCAGTATCAGTTGAAGAAATCCACACCTGTGCATCCCTACTATAAAGGGTACTTGAAGTCTGAGAAACAATACTTTTTGAAAAGTTGATGGTCAAACAATATCATCATATCGTTCTTCATGCCTGCTCTGACCAGATTTGACTAACAGATGGACACATTTTCTGCATATCGGTGATTCATCTGTTGCCCCTTAATTTTGCAAATATAGATGTAGGCACTGACACTTCGCAAATGATGCAGCCCCTCTCACACATGACAGCTGCTATGAATGGGGAGAACAGTTGATAGCTCAACAGGCCTGTACAATTTTATCAGGATTTGTGATGTTTAACTTTGTTCTTTCTCTGTGTGAATGCATCAATGGCAGAGGCTGAATTTTTATTTTATTTACTCAGTAGGGAGTTACTGTAGAGGGATGTTAAGGTTATACGTTCAATAGTAAATTACCAAAACTTCTTAGCCCTTGGTGTTTTCTATGTATGTGATACTGCAGTCAGTTCAAAGAGAAACAGTTATGCAGAAGTCACATCCCGGTTGGTTTTGCTTACACACGCAACAGTGCAATTTTTTTTCTGAGCATTGTGAAATGTATGGCTTTCCTTTCTTTTGATCTGCAAGTTAAAAGTAAACTTAAAGTCAATGGCAAAAATAATTTGGCTTATTACAATCAAGTTCATCATTCAAGTCTGAACATAAGATTTATTGTTGAAGTTGTACATGATGTTTTTACAGCTTGGACTCAGCATGAATAGCAACAAAGGGGTCCTCATCTCTGTTGCTGATCTTGAAGTGGGCGCGGCCATCACCTCCGACATGGATCTGCTTACCAGTGCACCTGCTTCCTTCTTTCTGGCCAGAAATGACGTCGCAGTAGGTGCCACCGGGCATGCCAGTGTTCAGGGTCACATCCAGGTTCCTGAAGGTGAAGACAAAGTACATGCTGTTTGTAAAACCACCACAATGCCACAATAAACTGCAGTGTTACTGATGCTGAGAGGATCTCCCTCTTATTTAGCTGTATTTTCTATTAAGGCAAGAGAAATAATAATGTTGTATTATTTGTTGGACGTTTTTCATAGTTGGATCTGAATTGTTTTTTTTCCCCTGTGTTTATGGTGAACAGGTGGGGAAAGAACTTTTTCCAGGATCATTTTTCTGGGTTACATTTTGTCAAGTGGGAACAGGTGTAGTACTTATTTTGGCCACAGGAGGCTGAAGTGTACCACTACCCCATGTTGTATTTGGGACTTAAAGCATTCATGTTTCTTCATACACGCTAGACACAAGGTACATACATTGTGTGTGCAGAGTGCAGAAAGATTATCCTGGCCAACCCTTTTTTTAATCTGTTCTTAAGTCATAAACACAGGAGAGAAAACAGTTTCAATCAGACTCAGAGAATGCATCACCCCAAGTTTTTTGTCACTTGCCCCTCTGGGCCTCTGTACAGAGTACATGGTCCTTACCAGTCATCATTGTTGAAGACAATGAATCCACGATTACCACGACCAGAGGCAACCTGGTTGCTCTGGTTGTCCCACCAGTTGGAGTGAGGC